AAACCCTTAACAGAACATCTTTTATAAATTTTAATTGGATCAGTAATCAATCTAAACAACCAATGAATATTATCCAAATCTTAATACAACGCTCGTTTGGATCCATCAACCCAGAAAAATCAACAACAGAATCCTCAAGCTTTGGTTTATAATATCAGCAAAACCGATTTTAGAGCCTTTGTTCAACAGTTAACCGGACTCAGTTCAACTTCTTCAGTCAATCTTCCAGCATCACCAAACCCAAACACACCGAAACTCCCACATTCAAAATTGGTTAGAGTTTGACCAGCTCCTTTTACTCTAACTTAACCGCCCTCCACCTCCACTTCCACCTCCTGTTCAATCCGATATAATGGCATCTGAATCGGTTCCCCCTGTTAACCAATTTTGGTTAGCCCAGTCGAATCTCCATTCTCTGCCTATATGCTTTACCTAATCGAATCAAGCTTTGTTGAAAACCGACCTTAGGTACAAAACCAAAACCCGGTCCAACCATCAACCAGTTGATTTTCTTCGCAACAAACCTATCTTAGTCCACTGATTTTTCAGTCTCCAGCTCAACAATAATAATAAAAAAAAACAATACAACAGAGAAAACTTATACTTTTTTATTGAAAGAAATGGAAAAACCTTATGTTGGTGAACTTTCTTCTCCAGTTTCCAGTATTCTTCTTAAATAAGATGGGATGGTGAGATTCTAGGAAAAACTTATGTTGTTTGAGATAAAGAACCCGATTTTCCTTTGTTGTGTTAAAATAAAAATACGTTTTTCTTCTATTTTTCTTCCAGCGATGGCTTTGCGATAGAGAGGCTCATCAGCAGAAGTTTTTCCTGCGCTATAACTCTTCGTCAGACGTACGAGCTTCTGCGCTATAACTTAGGAGAATCACAAATCCACTACTAAATACAAAATATAAAAATTATCATTTTTATCTAAAAATTTTCATAGATCTAATTCATAGATAACAAAAACAAGAACAAATTATAAAAATATTTTTTAAGTTATAATAAACAAATTAAATATAAAAAAATCTATAGTTGTTCTTTAAATGATACATACCTTTTAAAAGGAATCAAGTTCTTTGATTTGATGCATCTGATATCCTACACAAATTATCAAGAATTTAATCGAAGCTTTCATTGTTTTTGATCTAAGAAATGCGGCCGCAATGATAAAGGTTTAGAGAGTTTCTGCATCTTATATATAGAAAAAATTAACCTAAAATTTTTAAAGAAAGCAAACGACACCGTTTAGAAAATTAAAATCCATTAGAATAAGACAACACATAAGTTTTAACATATATAACAAATATAAAGGAGAAATTTTGATTCATGAATATAAAGATTAGATGTTGCAATCCTATTTACTGATAAAAATTGAAGCTAAGTGCCTCTAAGGGTGTCCACATAGGATTAAAAAGGACAATTCTATTCGTCCACATCAACATTTATAATTAAGAAAATTTCCAAAAATTAATATTATTGTTCATAGAATTAAAAAGGACAGTTCTATTGGTCCACATCAACATTCAACATTAAAAAAATTTCTAAAAATTAATATTGTTATTAATAAAATATACATATGTATGAAATTCCATTAACAACAAAAAACTAAAATAATATTAAATTAAAAATATTTTCTAAAATACAAATTTACTTAGATATAAAATAATATGCAATCAATTAAGGAAGTAAAGTAAATTTTAAAATTATTTTTCAGTTTTTCATAAAATTGTTATAAAAATAATAAATTGAAGATGATGAAAAATCTTATTTTCTTTTATTAGAGAAGAAACATATATTAACTTTTTTGTGTATGTACTGTTTTTATTAAATAGTAATTGTTTTTAGTTATCTTTTTAGTATACTAACCTACAAGAATTAGAAGAATTTAAAAATATTTATACAAGTTGAAATTATCAAAAAAAATAAAATAATATTTACTATAACATAAAAAACAACATTGGTGGTTTAAACATAATTTAAAGGTGACAATAAGTTTGTAAAATCTATTTTAATATATATCAAAAAAATAATTTAATAGTTTATCAAGGGATAATTAAATGCTATCAAGTATAATTTGTACTCATGAAAACAGTAAAATAAGGAGAAGTATTTGCCTTTCTTGGTTGTCAGTTAAAAATCTTTTAAAAGTTATCACAAACAATATGTTACTCGAGAAAAAGTTTGGTATTTACTAATTTAAGATGAAATTGACTAAAATTTCTATTGAATTCATCAATTTTTGTGATTTGAAATTAGTTTAAAATTTTATTTTATATTTATTTACTGAAAATATATGAAATCAAAAATTGTGTTTATTAGTTTATTTTTAATTTAGAATAAATTAGAAATTTGTATCGACTAAACTGGCTAAGGAAAGAGAATACATTTTCATTTTCTTATTTTTTTTAATAAAAAGCATACATAACAAAGATGCAACTGATGAAAAAACGTATTTTCTTGACTAATAAGTGATATATAAAAATTTATCTTTGTGTTAATACTAATTAAATATTATTTAATTAGTTGTCACATTTTGGGTTGATTTTGGTATACAAAATGTTAAGCGCTCAAGAAAATAATATGTTTTTTAAAACCACATATATAAATATAAACAAAATCGTTGAAACCTCAAAATCTATATATAAATTTTGAGATAAAAACTGAATTACTTTTGATAAATTTTATTAAAATAAATTAACATCTAAATAAATATAACTGCTTAAATATGATTTCTATTAATATGATATCATTAAAAAATTACCTACGAGCGTGGATGCAAAATGTAGTACAATCTTAAGATCTTTTACAACAGTCTCTCTCATATATTAAAAATATTAAAATAATAAATAATAATATTTAAGTATAAGAGTTTCTCAAAAATGTTAAGAGAATTTCTCAAATCTTTGAAAGAGTTTACCAATGCTTTTTAGACTCTTGTAAATTAAATATTACTATTATTATTATTATTTTTTCTATAAATAAGAAACTCTTGTGAAAGACTCTACAATGCAAATGCTCTCACTAGCTCATGTTTCCTTCTTAATATATAAAAGGAGACATAACAACAATGTTAAAAAGAAACCAGTACATGATAATTGGTAGGATTGGTAAAGTCTTCTAATTGTTATTTGTCTCATTTTGAAGTCTATTTAAGTTTCAGAATCAACCATAACATAATTGTTAAACAAAGAGATCTAATTCTAGTGACAATGTACTGTTAATGTGTAACTAATTCACAAACGTTAAAAGAAATCCAAATAACATTAAATATCATACCAAATATGATTACAAGAAAATTCAACAACTTGAGATTTTTCTAAAACCAAATACAGTCCAATCTTACTAAATAAATTTTTGCAATTATTTTTAAAATGTGAACTTAGTCTTATTTTTAAAAATTGTACCATACTCTGAGTTGGAACATACAACCAAGAAAACACAGTGACTTACAGTCATTAAATTTTCAAAGAAAGACCCAAAACCTTAGAAGCTAAGAAAAGAGAGACCAAATATATACAGATGGTGAATGATTGATGACTCAAATACAAGTAAAATGGAGACTTGAGCTAAATTTATTCTTGTAGCAGTACAATGCTTTATCATTAATAAGTTTTTTTATCAACACCAACATTTTTTTTATTAAGTATTATTATTTAATAAAAAAGGGGTTTAAGAATGAAAACAAAAAATCAGTATTTTCCTTTACTTTCAAGTAAGCAACTCTCTAATAACATGTAGCACGTATAAATCTATCTTTTCAATGATTGATGTTTAATTGTCAATTTAAACAATGGTAAATCTTTGTTCTTTCCATTGTTTGAATTGGTTGTGTGTCTTCCCGTATATGAGTTTTGTAGACCTGTTAACGCCTTTCGTTTGCCATTTGTATCACTTTGAGTTTTATTTAATCATTAGTTTAAATTTGTGAATTCATCTGTGAACATAATTGCCAAAAAAAAGAGACTAATTAAAGACTCAGTTTCAGTAACAATGTAATATTAATATGTTTGTGATAGGATTTGTATAACTCAAGATACTTAAACAGAGCATTTATATAAATTTTACTTGGATCAGCAATTCAGAAGGCTCTGTATCTTTCCCCAAGAAAAAAAAATCTAAACACCAATGAATATGAACCAAATCATAATACAACTTGGGATTATTCTAAAACCAAAAACAGTGTGCCTTTCTTATATAATAAAGGAAGAAACATGAACTTTTTAGATGCTTCCAATCTAAAAAACGACGGTTGGCAATTAATCTTCTTCTTAAATATTGCACCATACTTCTTGAAGTACTTAAATTAAAGCAAGTGCCTTGTTGAATATAATATACAATCCAGAAAGCACAATGCTTTTTTGTACAATGATTGAATTTCCCAAAAAAACCAAACACTACAATAAAGAAGGCATTTTACATCAGAATATACCGACATAAAATCAACGTAATGGACGATTTGCATCGAATTAGCGACGGAAAGTGAATCGTCGTAAACCGAGCATCGTAAAATCCAAATCGTCATAACATCGACGTAAAACTTCCAACACTAAATACTCGTCGTAGTTTCATTGGAAAATATTCGTCGTAAATTCGACGTAATCGTTTCCAACAAAAATACAACGAATATCATTTCAACAAAATATTACATCAAATCTACAACGATTACGCGACAAATTAATTTCGTAAAAAATAATTCAAATTATTAGAGATTAATGTTAATACATCGTAAATTATCAACGTTAATTCGTCGTAAAACATATGTTTACGTCGTGTATAAAAAATAAATATTAATGAAAATTAAATTTTTAATTAATAAATTAATCTTAAAAATAAATTAATAAATTAATATTAAATAAAACAAAATTATAATTAAAAATAAGTTCAAAAATAATTAATATATTAAATGAAAATTCAAATACAAAATGTTTTAAAAATTAAAATAAATCTACAAAATGATATCAAAATCTTCAAAATCGACGTCTCGAGAAGGCATGTCAGCCGGAAGCCGCTGTACCGTCATTTCCCATCTGAACTACGGGAGCCGAAGTCTGATCCTGATCAGAAGATCGAACGGAAGAAGCCCCTCTAAGACTCCGTGACCGGCGTTGCCTTTCTCGGATTGCGACAGCCAACTGCGGAACCGCTGCCGCTATGACATCGAAGAGACCGTTAATCTCGGAGATCTTCTGCTTCTGGACCACTTGCTCATCCCGTAAGCTGGTGATCTCAGCATTGGCTGTAGCAAGCTCCTGTCGCAGTTGAGCCGGATCCTCGTACGTGTGGCTTCCCGAAGACGAGGCGACGGGACAGTCTCTAATAGAGCCCATCCATAAGATGCGACCCTTCTTCCTCGGAGAAACCTACATATAAAAGTGAAAACGTTAGATCATAAATATATATATTTACAGATAAGTGGTAATTAAATTAAAAGGATTGAAATCATACCTTTTCGAAAATCTTGACTTCCTTGAGGACGGTCAAAGGTACTTGGATAGTACCGTCAAGTGTGATATGGGTCTCCCTTCCTGCGATCCTCGTCATAGCTTCGTTGTAGATCTCCTCTGACCAAGCATCTACAAAAGTCTCATCCTTCTTCCGGTGAGTGAGCTTCGTCATTGGAGGAAGCTCTCCTCCGTTCTCCTCTGCCTACAAAAAAGGTTAAACCATTAGTAAATATATATAAAATTATATAAAAATATAAAAGTAAATAATTTAAAATCAATTACCATCATCAGACGTCTTCCCGCAAATGGTACTTGGCCAGAAGTGTGCGGAGTCACTAACTCGGCTTCGTGTCGTCGCCGTCTATTTTCCACTTCCGCTTCCAGTCGGAAACGGTGTTGACGAGGCATTCCATTGCCTTTAGGCAGAACTTTGTCCGGACCTCCTCGTTGATCGAAATGTCCTAGTTCCATCTTTGCTGCAAAATAAAACAATATATTGTTAAAAAAATTTATATGTAATAAAATTTAAATAATTAGAATTAAGAATGAGAAAAAGAGATTTACCGCGAAGCATTTGTACCAGATGTCAAAAATGTCTTGCGAGATCTTACCCCAATTGTAGTGAGGCTCGACGAAATAGCTCTTAATTGTGTCGGAAACGCTGCGGCCGACACAATTATCCAAGCCAAACCTAGAAAACAAAAATGTAGTATATTATTAATTAATTCAATAATTTATTTAAAAAAAAAAAACAAAAAACACTTAGCAATAAGAGCTTGGTATCGCTTTTCCCGGCACCAGACGTCGTAAACCCTCCCGTCCTGGTGGGGCTAATAGGTCATCCACCGTATACGGGGCATACAGATGCGGAGGATGGGGTTCGGGTGCCGGTGGTGGACGTGGTGGTGGAGGGGGTGGTGGAGGGGGTGGTAGAGACTGGTCAGCTGCCGTGTTTGGAACCTGGGAGGCTTCGGGGAAGACAGGATCTCGGTATTACCCGAGGCAGATGTCCGAGATAGGGAATGTCCGTCCGCCATAAAGTTGATGTAGTGGGTTCTCCGAGGAGGCATCGTCTGCAAAAGACAAATACTAATTAAAATTATTTTCCGGACCTATTATCTAATTCCAAACCTAATTATAAACAAATTCCGAACCTAAACTAATTTACCTATATTAATTAAATTAATTATAACTAATATTAATTATAATTATATATTATATATATATTATTTTTAAAAAAAAAAATACCTGAAAAACTTGGAGAAAAACGGAGGAGAGAAGGCAGAGGTAGAGAGAGAGAGGAGTAGGAGGAATGAGCGACGAAATGGAGAAGGGTGCGTCCATATATATAGTTTTTATATTCGTCGTAAATCCGCTGACGAATTTACGACGAAAGTGTCGTAAATCCGACGCATAATATCCACTGATCCACAGATCGTATAGGACAAACACACATGGCTGTCTTTGGATTAAACGACAGATTTACGGCAATGCTCGCAAATCATCGTAAATTTGTCATAATGTTACGACAAATTTACGACGATATCTTATAAATCATTTTTTACATAACGGCTGAGTTTCCAGAAATCGTCGTAAATATGTCGTAACATTACGACGGATTTACGATATATTTTTCAAAATTTGGTAAAATGAAAAATTGATACACGCCCAAGTATCTACATGCATTACTAAACATTGTATATGTGTGCAATACAACTTCTGGTAAGTATATATAGCATAATGATGAATATACTAATGTTTAAGATGAACCCTTACATGTTTCCCTAAACGTATATATGTACTTCAGAACACTTGATAACATATATATATGTGTAAATTTTTCAAAAAAAAATTCTTGTCTATAACGGATATGTATGAGAATATAAACCATATAATTCCCATGCTTGAAATCCATCATATAGGCCAAGAAATGATGATTACAAGATTTATGGGTTAGATTTGGCGTCGATGTTACGAAGATATGAGGAATTTCGTCGTAACTTTGACAGAAAATTACGTCGAATTTACGACAATCTTGTACAAATAATCGTAAATTCGACGTAATGTTTAGCATAGATTTACAAGTTTTTGGATCTTATACTAGAACTCCTTTTAGAATAAATGTGATTCCTCAAGAAACTGCACAAAACAACAAATGTATAAGGTGAGAAAGCTAAACCTTATAGGTTAGGATTAGAGTGTTATGACGAATTTACGACGAATTTACGACGGTTTCATCAGAAACGTCGTAAATTCGTGTTAAAAGTCAATGCCTAGCTAAAGTCAACATTTGAAAATTTGCTTAATTTGATTGTCTTTCTTTTTTTTTTTTTGGTCAAAGCATAATTTCATTGATTTAGGCTTCAAACTTACACACAAAAGAGGGAATTATCCATCCTCTTTGATAAAGACAACAAAGCATGAAAGCAGTAGAAATTAAACTAGATAGATCTTCAACGAAGTTTGACAGCAAATAAGAGGCAAAACTTAAATGCGATGATGGAAGCGACTGCGAATCCGATAAGCTAGGATGCGTCGGCAACCCATTCACGGCAAAGCCGGAAAATTGAAAGTTCGTCACCTTATCTTGTGACTTTGAAAAACAATTTACACCTCGGAATCTCGTTGAAGCAAGACCCGTTGCATCTTCAGATCCCAAAGAGACCATTACGCAAGATAACAAAACGGTAAGAATTGAAAATATTTCTTGGCATAAACACCGAAGAAAAACTGCCTCTCAAAGAGAGGGAGATTGGTGAAAAGGTTCTCTCTCCAAAAGGAGAGGAAGATGTAAATGATCTCTCCGTAAAGGAGGAAGTTGAGAAGAAACGACCTTTATTGTCTAAAAATTTCACGACGACGATTGCTAAGATGCTTCGTTTGATGAAGGCGTCGTCTGCTGAAAGGCTCGCAGAATATGCTTTAACGTTTTTAAGCGGCCCATCTTGAGCAGAGAGGCCCAGAAATAGAATAACATGGGCCATGCCCAATTCACCAAGACCGGAGAAATCAAGGACGTCGGAGAAGCCAGCCAGAAAGCTGGGATCAGTTCGAGGCTTGAGGGTCACCAGAAAGAAGCAAAACGGACGGATGGAAGGAAACATGGTTCCATTAGCCAGAGATTTTTTTCAAATCTGAAGCGCCATATGAGAAACACTCCAAAAAAGCGACATATCTGCACAAATCTCTGCTCGTCGGAACGAAGATGGGAATAGATCTCCGGTGGAAGGCCATTGGGAAGGAATCGATTTATCCGGAGGATCTGGCAGATCTGGTGGTTGAGGAAGCTTGAACAACCCCTGAGAGTACAGATCTGGAGGCTCAGGACGAAGGGGAGTCGATGTTGGGAGATCCGTCACCAGACTGGGAGCAACGGATAGAGTTCTCGCCGGTGGCATGAGGCCAGACGACGGAGGTTACAAGACTCGAGACGAACAGCACCGCCGTTGAGCTTGTAAGAGATTTTCACCCATCGGTGATAAGGTTCTTCGGGAGAATCCAGACGGAGTCCCGAGAATAAGAAGCATGGTTGATCAGGAGGAAAATCCGGCGAAAGAACAACGGCGTCAGAGATGCATCTTCACTCGCAGGATGAGGCTGGGCGGCTGCCTTGAAAAACATGCTAGAGAGAAAATATCTCTAGGGCAACTCTCCTCCAATTTGATTGTCTTTCATGTGTAAGTAATAAAAAATTACTTTTATAACATTTAACAATATTTCACTGTCTATACCATTTAAAATTACATTTAATGAGATAAACTGAATTTATGTTTAGCATTCAGGTACGTCTTCCGGGGATATGTCATTGTGTTCATCATCTTCATCGTCGTCCTCAATCTCATCACTTTCATCACTGCTTGTTTCAAATTCATCAGCAGCTTCTTCAGTGTCGTCCCTATGGAGATCTTCAACTTGTCGATTACGTGGATCATTTAAAAGAACACGTTCTTCAACCTTTGGTTCAGTTATGTTAACACAATCATCTTGTTGCATAGGCGGGAGATCTACACTATCAATTATATCGCTTGGAGCAACTTTAATAACCGCCAACCATAAAATTCCAGTACTTCGAACTCGAGGATATGGAACAAATGTGACTTGTTCTGTTTGTGATGCAAAGATAAAAGGCTCAAACTTATTGTATCGTCGTGAGGCGTTTACATCAACCACTCTGAACTTGTTAATACGCACTCCACGACACACCGTTGGATCAAACCAATCACATTTGAATAAAACAATTTTCATCCTTACTAATCCGGGGTATTCACTTCAATTACACTTCAATTATCTCTTTTATGATCCCATAAAAGTCCACTTCACCTCGTACACAAACTCCATAGTTGATAGTTGCCCGTTGAATGCCATGACTGTAAGTATAGAAAACATTGCCACGAGTGAAATACCTAGCTACAGTAGTTATCTTAGATATAGGACCATGGAACAACTCATGAAACCATACTGCATATGTCATGTCATCATGATCGACCTGAGCTTTTAACCACAATGCGTAATGTTGGTCTTTCCGATTGTTAATTTCATCTTCTAAAACACCGTCAACGCATTTTCGGACTTGACTGACAAAAGTGCTGCAAAATATGCACCACACATTGTTAATTAATATTATATATATATATATACATACATTCATCAATGCATATATGGTAATCAATAATCATATAATCCAGTAGTACCTCTTGTACGGAGCCAATTCGTCGCAGTTCAGAAGGATGTATGTATGTGCTCTGTGGTAGTTCTTTTCGTTTGACCAACAAATTTCTTTTAGTTTCTCACTTAGACGTCCAAGCGGTGAGAATATATCTGGTATACCTTCTACTGCATAAGTTTGTCCTACACCCCCATCGTCATAACGTCTTGGAGCCCGTTTGCGTGTACGAACCTTTGGAGCAAAATAGTAAGACATGAAATGAGAAGTTTCTTCTGTCAAACTTCCCGCCATGATAGACCCTTCAACTTTTGCTAAGTATTTAGCCTTACCCTTTAAATGCTTCATAAACCGTTCAAACAGATACATCCACCTAAACTGAACAGGTCCTCCTAGTTCTGCTTCGTGAGGGAGGTGTATAGGTAAATGTTCCATAACAACAAAGAATGCAGGTGAGAATATATTCTCTAAATTGCACAACAGTATTGGAATATTTGTCGAAAGTTGTGCAACTACATCTGCTGATAACGAAAGAATGCTCCAATGCCTCCTAGTGCCTCATGGACAAGTCCCGGTAGGAGTTCAGTAAATGCAAAAGGAAGTAATCGTTGCATAAACATATGACAATCATGACTCTTCATCCCTGAAAACTTTTTTCCTTTCTCCACAGATTTAGCCAGATTAGATACATACCCATCAGGAAATTTCACGGCTGATGATATCCAATTAAACTATGCAACTTTTTGTTTTGCACCCAGCCGTAATACCGGAACTGGTGCTTTCCCATTACTCACAATATGCAACTCAA